GAGAGAGAGAGAGAGAGAGAGAGAGAGAGAGAGAGAGAGAGAGAGAGAGAGAGAGAGAGAGAGAGTCTTTAATGACAGGTATGACATGACCCCACTCGCATCTGATAAATTTATACACGCATGCCACGTGGCTGTGCGTATTTTGTATTTGTTTAAAAAAAAAAAAAAAAAAAAAAAGACAGGGCCTTACTTCTCTTTCCCCATGTCCGTTCTGGGGAGCATCAGCTCGGTTCCTATTCCACCTGCAAGTCAAGAATACATCATGGACTCACACCAACGCTTCTCCTCTTTATGGTAAGGAGACCCAAGTGGGCGGCATTGATTACTCCCGATATGGAAGGATGTACCTCCCCTCACCCCTGCCTAAGTTAGCTTGTAGCATCTAAAGCTGGGCTTATCCTTTGCCTTCCACCCTGTCTGTACCCTCCTCTGCTCCCCTCAGCTTTTGTAGCTGTCAACTATTCTTGGAAACCTGGAGCAGTATGTTACTATGTTATGTATTTGTTTTTTATTTTTGTTTTCTATAAATATTAGATTTCTAACCTTTTTGGTTGTGATTCAGTCCTTTCGTTGATTCCCCCCCCCCCTCTTTTGCCCTTTGGTTGGCTGGGCGTTGCCAGGTGGTACGCTTTCATTGGATACTGTCATTCATGTGGAGAAAGCCGTGTGGTGCAGTGGGAAGATCTGGGCAATGTATTCTGTGCCTGCAGACAGGATGCAGGAAGGGTAAGTGGGCACAACTTGGGCGTGTCTTTTCCTGTTATGCCCCTGAAATTTGTCTGGATATGTGTTTCTGCCCTCGGTTGCTTGAACTTTGTTTCCTACAGCGAATTACCACGTCAGCCCTTGGAAATTGGCACCCTGAATGCTCCCCCCACGCCGATGCACGTGTGTTATCATGTTATCTCTTGTCTGTGTACTGCTCTTTAGAGTTTCTGTCTGTGTGTCTGTATCTATCTGCCTGTCTGTGATGCAAACAACTTTTGTCCGCCTACTGCGAGAGAAGAGCGATGAATCGTTGATGATCATAATCTCATGAACTGGACAGTGGGGGGATGTTTATATCCATTCAGAAAAGGACAAAAGGACATGTAAATAGACTGAGGATCAGGCTGTGGCAGTAGCAAGACTATCGGGCAACAGAGTGCAGTAGACAAGGTTCAGAGGGAGCTCGTTCCCAAGTCCTGAAAAAGTAGATAGACTCGATGCTCGTACCCTATTGCCAATAGCCTCTTTCCCAAGCTTAGCAGAGTAGAGAGAGCTCACAATGAGTCCACATGTGCGAGAGCCCCAAGATTGGAGACAGGCACAGGAGGTGGAAGAGCGGTAGGGCAGAGCACCCCTCTATCAGATACACTCAGCCGGATGCCAATCACGTTGTACGGCAAGGTTGCATACCCGCCGACCGCCGAACACCGACCACCGACCAGCGCCGACTGCCGACCACCAACCGGCGCTGACTGCCGACTGCCTACTGCCAACCACGGACCGCGGACCGCCGACCGCTGATGGGCATGGTGAAATTGCCATGGCTGCAGGTGAAGATAACCTCCCAGGCTTGTTTCCTAGCTCCATCCCATACTGAAGAGCTATTGATTGGCCAACGTCAGAGAGCCTCCTGCTCATCTAGGCTAGAAGTCACACTCGAGTTAGAGTGCTGCATGCGGGCCTGATGTTGACCTCAACCATCAAAGGTGTAAATCCTGGGTTGCATACCTGCCGACGGCCGACCCTGACCGCCAACCATTTTGCAGACCGGTCGGTGGTCAGCCGACCAGTCAGAAAACAGCCATCCACTGATTTTTTTCCAAATCTGAGTTGGAGGCTGCACTGCGCTTGCTGAGTACAGCCCAAATCCGCTGAGAAACTTTTGGGGATGGGGGGGGTATGGCCTGTCTCTTATACACATCTAGATGTGTATAAGAGACAGATACACAACCGGTCATTTCCCCGATCGACCAGCCAATGCTAGGTTACACTGCTCATCACCCTTGATGCCAAAGTCAGCTAGCACAACGCTGCTCC